TGGGGTCCATGATTGTATATACTTGGTTCTGTAAACAGGTGACCACTTGAGTATTGCGACTCCTCTCCACCTCTGCTACACTGTCTCCTCCTGAGGGTTGGAAAGGCTTATGCTCTGTTTCAACCTTCGGTTTCCCACCTTACAGAAGATCTTGTTATGCACAGAACAAGGGCAAGTTTAAAACACTTCATCAAGGTAGATCTCTTCTTCTTGCAGAATGTATCAGAAAATTTCTGTTAAAGCAGTCCATGAGATTTCATCTTTAGAATGTTTGCCTTTTGAACTTGACTCTTAAGTGGAAATGAAAGAAATGTGCCCTCCTAATTTGGTTCTGTGGAGTTAGTCAGACATAAGAGACTCAATACAGTTAACTGGATTGAAAACTGTGATGTCTCCAAGAAATCCTTGGTCATTCAAAAGAAGTTAGTATTTAACATGGACCTACAGCTAACTGCTTCCATCAGAAAATTATGGGACAGTACCAGCAACATATCCATAAGTACAAAGAGAGCCCTGAGAAGATGACAAATAGGAGAGTTACCAGAGTAGAAGGTTGGGCCAATAAAAGTCAGTCTTCAGAGATAGTGAAAGTCAGAGGCTCACAGAGAAAAGCAGACAGCGAGGAAATCCTTCCAAGCTCCCAGGAGAGCCTATTCAAAGGCACTGGAAGTGGAAACGCAGAAGTTAGATGCTGGGGGGTAGAGAGGGGTAGCAAGCACAGAGATAGTGGCACGCATCGGTATTATATGCTAGCAAGGCCACTCTGGAATGGGGGTAAACTCAGCACGTAATGCACGAGACTTTGCTATGACAAGAAGTGCCTACAGTTCTTTAGTGAGAGGTATCTGGCTAAAAATGTGCTTATCAAGCATTATTCTAGAGTTTAGAATAGAAAAGCCAACTGAAAAATTCTAACAGAAAAAAACAATCACAAAGCTCCTTAGAACATTCTTCTTCTGATTCCTAACAGTGAAGACTTCTCCACTGGGTGGACTGTACCAAGACCTATACCATAAAGAGAGAAAGGTGTCATGACCATAGGTTCATGGTGTTCTCCCTAGGTTATCATTAGGGCATAGACTAAAGAACTATGTCATCCTCATTCACCTTATTTATTTTGTCCCTGTTCTTAGTGTCTCATTTTTGCTTTAAATGCAGCATAGTAGCTAATTTCTAAAGCAGGCAATTCCATGCAGCATAACTGGGTAGACAGAAAAACAAAAATAATCCATTCTTTGGGGGACATTCAAGGGAGGAAAATAATGAAATGTCACCACTGGCCTGACTTTGTATTAAGGATATAGCTCAATTTCCAATGACATAGCCACCGCCCATGTACCACGCAGCTTCTAGACCTCACCACATCTCTTAACTCAACTAGGCTATTCAAGCTTCTTTGTTATGTTACAGAGGTGTGTGTCCATGTATTTTTCTGTCCTGAAAGCAGAGACTGGGGAAAAAAGTGTGCTAAAACCCAGTCCTACATTTTCTATGGCAGGAGAAGGAACTCAGTAAACACAAACACAGCAGAGCACTTCCTTTTGTTGACAACCTTACGATCTCCCCTTAATGCATTGTTTAGAATAGCAATTACGTGTCATTTCCCATTATCCTACACACAAAACCACCGCAGCGCAGCCATCGCTCTTTCTTCCAAAAAACCAATCACGGAGAAGCTAGAAAGGATTCGTGTGCTGGTGAGACATGTCAAGACAGACAGCCCAGAGCCCAAGAGCTCTGTTTATGTACAGAACAGGTATGTGGCGAAATCACCCCTCCACCTTCTCATTTCTGCCTTCCTGGCTCCCCTCCCTCCCTTGCAGCGGTTCCCTCTGGGTTGGGAGGGAAAGCAGCTTTGGAAGAACCTTCTTTTTCATCCTGTTTCCTCCTGCCAGAGAAGACTGGCTCGCTCTCAAGACTGCAAGCATTTGACCACGGCACACAGCAGTGAGCATGTCAACCAGTTTTATTCCCATTCCTTGCTAGGGAATCGAAAAGCCAAGGACACACTGGTGATTTCCCTGGTTTTATAGCTCTCTACTCCCCCCAGGCCTGCAACACATTTTTGGTGCTAGTGTTCACAGTGTCCTGGCATCTGCAGTGTGGGAAACCCGAACTGAGAGCCAACAGCCCCAGAGCTTCTCCCTATTAAAATGTGCAATTGGATTTCACATGTGTGTTTCAAACACCATTCAAGGCATGATTTACAGGCTACTGTCTAGCCCCACAGCTGTTTTTTCATCCCCCAGACTTAGTCATTTCTAGGAATCCACCATTAGCTCCCTAGCGAATAGTCCTCCCAATTTCAACCTCTTCAGTCATTCCTGGGCATCCAAAGCTACACAAGACCTATGGGAAGGACTCGAGAAAATGTTTATTAAACAAAAAAAACTACGATTCTTTCCACAGAATTATTCACTCATGAGAACAGCCCATTTGATGCCTTCTTTCTGTTTACTTACCTTCTAATGAAGCTCCCCCCCCCATCAAATTAAACCAATCACTGCTGACCCATTGATAAAAGTTATTTATATACATTAAAACCAGCGCAAGTCCAATGACCTCTGTGAGGGCCTCACTAGTTGCCACCCAGGGCTTTCACAGTTGCTGAGTCCTTTCTATAGAAGGGAAAAGAAAACACTTCTACATATTGCAAATTATCTTCCTGTGGCTGACTAAAGACAGACCCTCTGTATGTTCCGCAGAGAGTCAACAATCTACTATCGTGTTTCCACAACCACCCACCCCAAGGTCCCAACCTCGTTTCACTTTCAAGACTCTGAAATCACTCCTGAAAAGCTTAGAACTCAGGCTTAGGGTTATGTTTGGTTCAAACCCAGGCTGACAATATCTTCTCAATATTTGGTTTTAAGCTGTCAGAGGACCAGGATGGTACTGTGTTTGTATAAGATTCTTCCGTACAGAGCACAATCCTTGGCAGAGTATGGACACAGGTGGAGTGATTGGTCCGCAGGAGCCCCTGCCCTGTGACTGAGGCCCACTGTTCAAGGGAGGAGAGCAAAGGAAAAAGAAATAAAGGTCTGACATGGGGAGAAATGTCCCAGGAAGAGCCCTTGCTGGAAATGGCGTGTAGATGCATTGATTTCACCCAAATGGCTCTGCAGGTGTAGTTTCCCATTTCAGAAGAAAGCAATTAATTAAAAATCATATGAATAAAGATGTTATAATCCACATCAAATGACATTTTGCCCTTTGTTGCTCTATACCCATCTTTTCCAATGAACAGCATCTCAAGGTGCAAAGAGAACATCCTGTCCCCTTCTGCATAGGCTCCCTGCCCCACCCCATCCTCCCAGCTCCGAGACTCGAAGTCTCCCCAGAAAACAACAACGCACACCTGGCTTCCTCCCACACTTTGAACTACTACACAACAATCGAGGAGATCCACTTTGTTACAAGCCACAGTCAAAATAACAAGCCTTTCTTGTTGAGTCAAAGTCCTTTAGGACAAGAATACCAGTAAGTAAGGAGCTCTTGTGTTTTACATAGTTTTTGACGGCTGGAAAGGCAAGGCCACCAAGTTCCCTAACTCAGTAAAGGCAGCTTTAGCCTCGGGACTCGCCTTCCCTTCTACTCCCACAGCTGTCTCTTTGCAGACCTCAGGAAGGAAGATTACTCATTTACTCTTTGGATAATCTGATAATCAGGCCATGTTGACATGCTGAGCTGTCAAATCTTCAGGTTACCTGAAGAGGCTCTCTTTTTAAACCCTTACATTAAAAATAACCCCAAATTCACACTTGTTATCAATGGCCCCCAAGGCCAAAATTGCAAAGGATGAGAATCGCAGCAGTAAAATGACCATTTATTCAATACCCATCATGTGTCAGACGGTTTTCTCTTTACTCTCTCCAGATAGTTGGTGGAGACAGTATCATCATGTGCCTTTTCTCTTTACTCTCTCCAGATAGTTGGTGGAGACAGTATCATCATCCAAGCCTACATGAGTGTGGAAGCCACAACTGCCCGGGAAAATACAACTGGCATTGAGAGAAGTCAGACTCAAAGCCAATCCTCTGTTGCCAAGAGCCCATGAAGTTTCCTTCCAGTCCACTAAGCTCCCCCCGAGAACAGAAGAGTAGACCTCAGGAACAGTGTGTTCCCAGGCTGGGAAGAACTTGAGCTGGTAGGAGATGTCTGGTGACTGTAGGGGCAGGGAAGGGAGCAGCTCTGGGGTTTTCCAGACCCCCGAGAATCCGTACACTTCCTTCTGTCCTAAGCACCTGATTTGTGCAATCCCCAGAGGCAAGCTGAGCAGTTAAAACACTTCTGCTTCTTGGTCTGGTCAAAACAATAAGCTGTCCTTTGGCTCACTATGTCACACCTGCCACTTCCCCACAACTGGGGGACACCGCCAGCGAGGAGACCCCTCCATGGCTCTCTGCATTTCTGAAGCTCCAAACCTTGGCAGTTAAACCCTCTTCTCAGCTGCTGCTTCCTCATCAACCTTTGGCTACCAAAAATCATAACATGACCCCTAAATTGCAACAGGATCAGAGAGACTTGCCCCCCATCCCCTTCCGTCTCCTCCTCTGAATTCTGTGTAGCGTAGTATGCCCCCGCCAGACACTTCATGCCACCTGTTTTTTTGTTTTTCAGGTTTTTTTTTTTTTTAAGAACAACACAGACTATAAATAACTAAGTAAACAAAGAAGTAAACCTGCCTGGTATCCTATCTACTTTCCTGCTCACAACCACACGGGAGACTCCAACACTAGTCCATGCACACGGAGTACTCTTTCCATGAGCGACGCTCACACGAGTCCAGAGAGACATTTCGGCCACGGCACCAGACAGTCACCAAGGGCCCTTCACCCTCCCACTCCAACGTCTATAGTGTTTCACCTTTCCACATTTCTTCCTTCACTTGAACCGTCGTGGTTTTGTATTAGGTTTTCCTCTGGGAAGAATGACTGGCAGTTAATCCCAGCCCCGCTCCACCCTGGGTGGTGAGCTAGCATTCGCAAGCCCCTCATTACCATTAGAGTCTTCTACTTCTTCGGCTGGGGTAGCTTTCTGGGAGGAGTGGTGAGCGTGGGAGGAGAGCAGACTGACAATTCGTGGCCTGGGGAGGGTTAGGGCTTTTCCGTGGACCTTGAGGGAGTGTTCCTTCAACTGGCTGATTGTCATGGTGGAAAATGAGCACCAAGAACACTTGTAGGCATGTTCACCTGGAAGAAGATGGCGGTAAGGGGCAGAACGGGAAAGGAGGGAAGGGTATAAGGTGGGGTGGAAAACAAAATGGCACAGTTAATTCACACAAGAGATGAAGTACAGTTAATTCACGCAAGAGATGCGACTTCTGAAGTTTCATGGTCTAAGAAGCCTCACAGACCAGCTACCCACCCCTTCCCACAACCACAATGCTCCTCTGGGACTGAAACTCTTCCATGAGCTCCATAATCAGGTGACCTGGTCCCTTTTCATTTCATGCTCTACTTACAGGGACAAACCCATGCATGGATTCCCCAACAGGGAGTGAAACTGAATGTCTACGATCCCTCCTTCAGAAAGGGTTCCAGTCTCTCATTCTCTCTCTCTCTCTCCACTAGAAATGACCACGTCGGCTTTCATTCAAGGATGCTTTTTATCATCTGCAGAATATAATATGCTTAATTCTTATTTCAAGGGCCTATCAGTGGCTTTCCAAGCACAGGGTAACTAAGTGCAAACTCCATTGTGCTATTTTCATTCTCTGCGTCTTTGCTGACTATACACCTCCTTGATTCCACACATCCTAGTTTGTTTTTTCTGGACCAGTTCACAAACCTCAGCATAAAACTCCATGCCCCTATCTAATCAATAGTGCAGAGAAATGGGTAAAAGTAAGTCATTTTTTTTTTTTAAATCAAGAGAGAGTTGTATATGTATAAGCACGTGTGAATCTCCAATATTCTTTGATAAACAGGACATTTCAGTAAAAGTAGGCATTTTTATTTTAATTATTTTATACCATGGAAACACAGTGACCAAATGAGACTATGGTTCACCTTTGCCCAAAGTCAGCTTTTAAATTAAGTGCATTTTAAAAAGCCAAGCTGTGAAATGGACATGCTTATGTTGTGGGACAAACACTGGTTTGATCGACTCAGAAAGCAATTTTGCTTTTTCTAACAAAAGGATGTGAATCCTCATGCTTGCAGCTCAGTATCTGCACCACTCCAACCTGATACTAAGAAAATATCCTTTAACATACAGGGTTTCCAGCCATAAGGAAATGATTAAGTAAATATGGACCAGCTTCCTGATAAATGGTAATTCATTAAAATAAATTCTTAAATAATATAAAAAATAACAAAAAATAAAATAGTGATCTTCAGAAAAACAAACAGAAAGGCACGATATATTTTTGACTCACTTATAATCACAACTGTTAAAAATAATTATAGAGGCCATGGTTGAAAGGAAGTGTTATCAAACGTGAACAACAGTGGTCTTTAGAGAATAAGATTATGGGGTGACTGACTCTTATTTCTTCTTTCATTTCCAAATTTCCTCTAACGAGCAGGTTGGTTTTTTTTTTTTGGTTTTTTTTTTTTTTACATTTCTTTTTAAGGCGAAATTTTAAAACCAGAGGTAAGGAAAGAGAAGGAAATAGAGGGGAAAAAAGGAGCAGAAAGGCCCTTTAGCAAGGAAAGTTTCGCGTGCTAGTGAGGGGGACCTGTGGACAGAGCCGCGGAGCAGGAATGAGAAGGTAAACCTCTGTGCTTGCTCTGACCCAGCTGAGATGGGTTGTTCCCCGCCCAACCTTGAAAATGACTCAACGTCTTCACATGCGAGGTGAGCGCAGCAACCCAGATTCTGCACTCAGCCTCCGCGCTGCCACTGATGACTCCCAGAGCACGTACTTCCAAGAAAGCCTTGAAGAGAACCTTGAGTGACGCAACACACTACAGCCCAAGATGGAAGAGAAGTTCAAAGTCAGACGACCCCGACCAGAACCTCAGTCAGTCCCCAGCTATTATCTGGGAGTCCGGATAATGCCCGGTTGTCAACAGTGGTAACTATTACTATAATAAATACGGATATATAGAATATCATTTACCATGTAACATAGAAATACACATGTCAATATATATTAATCATTGTATAGAATACCACGGCCCTTCTTATTCCATTTTTAAGTTTTTTAATGCAAGTCTGGCTGCATGAAGTGGTTAGGTAGTGGCAAGTAGCACAACATGAGAGAGAATTCAAATCCAGATATTATTTGATTTGTCTATGTGACTTTTACCCTTTAAAATGAAACAATCCACCTAGCATGGACAAGATGACATAAGTGTTTTGGAAAACGTACTGGCTTTTTGCAAGCCAAGCTGCTCTCAAGTGGCTGCATGCCATGCCACAGACAGCAAGGTTCCCAGGTGTGCAGAGAAACAAATTCTAGCATTCCACCTCTCTAGATGCTTCCTTCTCACCAACCAGTGAGCACAGAAGGACTGTGTGCGTGGTCACCTCACTGCCCTGGAGTCTCCAGGCAGCCTCTGGTACTTTCTTAAAGTCCTTCACACAAGGCCAAGTCATTTACCCAACTCCTCTTGCTAACAGCGCTTTGGCCAAGGTGGAGATCTGTGAGAAAGACTCCCCAGGATGCTGTCCCAGCTGAAGAATTTACAATATGCACACATGTCACACAAGAGCGGTCTGAACCCTGAAGCCTCTTACTCCATAGCTTCAGTAGACTTTTCCTGAAAGTATAAAAATACGAACAGAAGTCTAGAACCAGTCTCTCCATCCCATCCGTGCCCAGTGGGGCTGGGAAGAGCTGGATGGCTTCAGGAGTTTTATTCCATGAGGCCAGTTCGACAGGACCCAACACCAGGAAAGCTGGTTAAAACCTCGGGAGAGGAACTCTAACTAAGGGTGTATGTGCAGTCAGGCTTCCGGGTGTGGCTAAGAACACCACGGAGAGGCCCCCAGATCCCTCTCCAGCACCTTCCCTGCACCACACCTCTTTCCTCTCCTGCCTGAGCTCTCCTGTGCCACCAGCAGGCATCCTCCATCAGATGCAAAAAAGAGAGGCTATCGGCTTCTTGTCAGTGATAAAGATGCAGGCTGTTCTTCTGAAGTCAAATTCTTAGTGAGTGGGTTATATGGCCTTGAACAGGTCACTTAATTTTTATATCCTCCTCTGACACTGAGGGGGACACCACCACCTACCCTTTAGGACTGCCATGAGGATTAATGAGTGGGATGGATATAACATGCTTAGTGCAAGCCTGGCGGGTGAGGGACTGTTCATAACAGAAGCATGAGGAGATGGAACAAAAGAGTAACAGAGACCAGCACAGCTTCTGGACACTCAGGACCCAAGTCATTTCTTATCTCTTGTAAGGAAAAGTATTTAAGGGTATCTCATGAGAAATCTTGCATGTCTTAGGGACTCTGTCCTTTTGAACTTCCTCAAGATTACACTTTCATTTTAGTTGGGAATTATCTTCAGTAGATGCTAACAGTTCATGCATTTCCATTAGAAAGGCCAGGTAGGAGCACCTGCGTGGCTCAGTCAGTTAAACCTTCTGCTTGGGTCATGATCCCAGGGTCCTGGGTTCAAGCCCTGCATCGGGCTCCCTGATCAGCAGGGGAGTCTGTTTCTCCCTCTCCCTTTGCCCCTCCGCCTGCTCATGCTCTCTCTGTCTCTCTCTCTCAAATAAATAAATAAAATCTTAAAAAAAAAAAAAAAGGCTAGGTAATTTAGAAATTCCTACAAGAAACCAACCAAACAAACAAAAAACAGGGGTGCCTGAGTGGCTCAGTTGTTAAGCATCTTCCTTCAGCTCAGGTCATGATCCCAGGGTCCTGGGATCAAGTCCCGCATCGGGCTCCCTGCTTAGCAGAAAGCCTGCTTCTGCCTCTCCCACTCTCCTTGCTTGTGTTCCCTCTCTCGCTGTGTCTCTTTCTGGCAAATACATAAATAAAATCTTTAAACAACAACAACAGAAACAAAGCCTGTTAGTAGCACATCCCAACTATGACTTAGGTGACATGGGCTTGGTCACCCTTGGCTTATTTTGGCTTCAGGTTATTCTATAATTTTTCTTTATGTTTTTTCATTAGATTAAAATAGAAATAAATAAGCAACCAAGTCAAGAATAACTTCTTCTCATGTGCGGGATAAGAGACTTTGACTTTCGCTCAGGGAAGACCATAGGATTTCAAATCCAGAGGACTCCTGCATCAGGAGGGCCAACTCACCAGCGTGAGCCTTGAGTATATGTGTTTTCAGCCGGCTGTTATAGGAGGACTTGAAGGAGCAGAGTTTGCACCGGAATGGTTTATGGTGTCCGTGGTGGGTTTGCATATGGCGATCCAAGCTTGATGAGAAGAAAAATAGAGAAACAGGACAGGATTAACAATTACATACATTTTTCTCCCTGCCCTTTTCCAGCAATCCCACTTCTAAGCTGCTCAAAGTCATTTTGCTCAACAATGGTGCTTACCCAAACCAAAAACAACAATGACAAAAATGACAAGAGTGGTCATGCCTACTTGAAAGGGAGGGGCTCAAGGCAAGAAGATAGCAAGAGCCTTTTTGGATTGAGATACATGGCAGTGGGAACATTTTCCCTTGCCTGGAAGCATGTATAATCGGAAGAGGGCATCCAAAGAGAAAAGATGAAATACCAGGGAATGCAAGTTTTCTGCCAAGGTGGTGAGGAGTGCCTATCAAATAGTCCCTTAACTTATTCAAAAAAAAAAAAAAAAAAAAAAAATTAGAGAAATTTTGCATTTAGAAAGGGCTTTCTTTTAAAATCTCAACTCTGTATTCATGGTGAACACTCAGGAGGGGAAGGGAAATTCCAAGGTAGTTGAACTACTTGAAATGGGCTGTCACGTCTCCAACATCTTTGTAAATATAGAGGCAACTGGAAGGTAGGTTTCAAAGAAGTCTTGTGATCCAAAGGCCACTTATCCCTTCTGATAAACACTACCATGTTTGCTGTACCTCAGTCTTCCAGAGCAACTTATAAAGAAGTTATTTAATTATGGTGAACTCCTAGTATTTCCTAATAATTAGTAGTCTAAAAAATAATAAATCTCCCAAACAAGGTGTGGGAAGGTGTTCTAATTTGAATCGGTACCCCAGAGAACCAGATTCCATTCTAAATGACTCAATTGGGAATGGTGTTGCTTACCATTTAAATACACAATGTTTTGAGCTCCAAAGCTGCACTTTCAATCACCTCCTGACATCTCCCTCTGGGTGTCCTTCAGCTTTCTTAAATTCAACGAGCCCTTAAACAAAACCATCAGTACCCCCCTGCCACCTCCAAACAGCCAATCTTCCTCCTTTCCTTGCTTTCTTCCTTCTTTCCTTCCTTTCCTTCCACCATTCTCAGTCAACCAGACGGAACACCTGGGTGTCATCTGTCCTCTACTTTGTCTCTCATCCCTCATCCCCTATATTATAGTCAATTTTTCCAAATCATTAAGATCCTACTTCTTTCAACCATTCCCAAAGTTCCATTTTAACTTCTTGGATTACCTACTATTACTGCCTCCTAGTTGGTTCCTCCCATCTTTTTTTTTTTTTTTGTCAACTCAAGAGCATGAGCTATGGAGTGAGACTGCCTGGGTTCAAATCCCAGCTATTGCTTATAAACCAAATGGCCTGGGCAAGTTACATAAATAAACCTCCTCACCTTTCTAATCCACAAAATGGAGACATAGTGGGACGTACCTCACAGGGCTGACTTAAGAATGATAAGAGATAATACTTGAAGGCGCTTAGCACACTGCCTGACACATAGTAGGTCTTAATAAATGTCAGCAATTATGATGACTCTACTCATTCCAGAGTCTTCCTTTTGCTGGTAATGTAAATTAAAACGTCTTAATTCTGCATTCAAAGACTCTAAATATGGTCTCTACTCAAGTCTTCATACTCTATCTTCCCCTATTCTTTTACATATACCTTAAAGATTAGTCAGACTAGACCACCAGCCGGGCGCCCACCAGCCTCATGCTCCATTCCACGGGCTTATGCTCTCATCCCTTCCACCATGCTGTACGCCCATTCCAAACTATACAAGTCCTGTCTTTGACTTTTTTTTTTTTTTTAAGATTTTATTTATTTATTTATTTGACTGACAAGAGATCACAAGTAGGCAGAGAAGCAGGCAGAGAGAGAGGGGGAAGCAGGTCCCTGCTGAGCAGGGAGCCTGATGCAGGGCTCCACCCCAGGACCCTGAGATCATGACCTGAGTGGAAGGCAGAGGCTTAACTCACTGAGCCACCCAGGAGCCCCGTCTTCCGACTTTAAGACCTGACTCAAATGCTCCCTACTCCATAAAACCTTCTCAATTCTTCCACAGTGGGTGTCACATTACCCTTCTCTGAAATTTCATAGCATTTTACTGTACATTTTTGAAAGATATGTGCCTTGTTTTGCCTCGTTTGTGTGCTTGCTTTATTTATAACTCCCCTAGCCCCTAAATTCCCTTAGCTCCCTGACCATGGCCTCTTCATCTTTATACGCCCCTCATATCCCCCAAGTCCCCAGCACACTGCCTAGCACGGGGGTATCCATTTATTCACAGGGATTTGCCGAGCCTCTACTGGGTGTCAGAAAGCAGGACAGATGCTGGGGAATACATACTTCTTAAACTGATGAGAACTACACAAGCTTTACGTCGGCGCACAGATCTGACAACAAAGATGAGACATTAGTCTCCGTAGAATTCAGGATCTGTAATCCATCCTACCCTCTGGACAAGCATTGCCTCCTTCCGGCTTTCAACAACTATCCAGCACTTTATCTTTTTAAGAAGCAACCAACCCAACATTTACTTTCAATCATCCTAAAGATAAACAGCATGTCAGTCTTCTAATCGGTCACCTCCATCCAAGATGGTGGCACACATTGCTCATCGTGTATCCCTCTCAGACAGTTCAGAGAAAGGCAATAAAAGGTGATTTCTTCTCGGAACCATCCCCCTTCCCATCACCCCCAAATGCCAGTCACAATACTCCAAAACCATGACTCCAAAGCTGTGATGGGCCTCGGGCAGCTCTTTCGACTCAACCTCCCTTTACTTCAAAAGCACCTCTTGGCATCAGGAACCTCCTTACTTTTCAAGGTCTTTTTAAGAAACATCTCAAGCAATGGTTCTTTGGTCACAACAGGGAATGAATAGTCCTAATTTTACCTCCATAGACCCTCAATTTCCTAAATGGAACTTTACTTCCTCAAATGACGATGAGGTTCTGGATGAATGTTTGATGGATAACACCAATAAATTCCTCTACTTTCTAGTCTTTTGTAAATCAGAGCAAGGCCTCCAAAATAGCCACTTGTGAAAAAGACCTGTATTTGCCATGTCTAATGTTAAGTAATCTGGGGCTCTTAGCCCCATTTGACAGATGGGGTGACTGAGGCTCAAGGTAACCTAAGCAGCAGGCGAAAGCCCTCAGTGGTGCTCTTGGACGCCTCCACCCACCCCCCACCTCACTAACCCCCAACCCCTGCTCCAGCTCAGCTGCCTCCCGGCTAGGACACCTCCCTCCTCCCCACCTGCGGGCATGCAACAGCACTTACTTGTGCCTGAAAGCAGAAACAAAGGAGCAATACTGGCAGCTGTACTTGTCCTCGCGGGTAAACATGGCCAGGGCCAGATGGCTCCTCTCATGAGAACGCAGCCCCTGCATGGACATCAGGACTCTGTCACATTGACTACAATGGTATCCCCCCGGCCGGGTTTCATCCTCCAACATTCCATCAAGCAAGCAGTGTTCACCATCCACCCGGTCCACCAGGGTGCCACTGGCATCTTTGGCGACTTCCAATCCATCCAGGAACAAGTGGGAAGGGTCTTCGGCCTCCTGCTAAGAGAACCACACACACACACATGCCCCACCAACAAAATAAATATCCATCATCATCGTCTTCAGCACTCCTCCTCTCCCTTCATTCTCCTAAACTCATCAGCATCTCCAGTTCAAGCTTCCTCCCCTGAGTCTCTAGCTCCCCCTAGAGGGAGGGCAAACCCGCCTGCCATGCAGTGGTGGTGATGTGAAGGCAACATGTCCCAGCACAGGCTGCCACTGCCTGGGAAACACGAGAGAGAGGCTCTCCCACTGTGAAGACCATTCACTCACTTTGCTCCCATCTTAGAAAGAAAATTCAAACTGCCATCCCACCTGAACTCACACAAAGCAGGGTTAGGGTTATGGCTCAGAGAAAAGAAAGGAAGGAAGAGGAAAACACAGCAGAGAGGTTTGGGCATCTAGGAGCCAGCGTGGGCCATCCTCGGGAAATGAAGGAAAGAGAAGGACCCTGCCCTTTGCCACCCATGCTCCTCCCCACCCTGCGTACAGTGACTTAACCCACTGAATGGGAGGCTGCTGTATGATCGACTGAAAAACTTGAGGAGCCCGAGTTTAAGATACCCGTGTTTGGAGGTGACTCTTGGGTTACTGATTACACACGAAGAACTGCTCTGTCTCCCTCGAGTGACTCCAGGAAACAAGCCTGGGACACACTGTGGTGGCACGGAAGAGGCTGACTGCCGCTGCCCCCAGGGGCCACTGTTGTGCTGGGAGCCAGAGGGGCTTCTGTCTTCAGCGAAGGAAAGCAGAGACTTTATGTCCATGTTACATGGGCAAAAACAGGTCACCAGATCGAGAAAGGCCAATAACGAAAACATATTCACGTATCTAGAGAGAAATAGCCAAGCCCCCGAACTAACTAACTTCTCTGCTCAAAAATCAGTGCTTAGCCATATCCTGGAAGGCAGGTCCCTGAAACTGTGGCTGCTCTCAGGATTATGACGTCCAAAACAGGCAGCCTAATGGAAGCTGGGGCAGGGAGAGAAGACACCAGTCAGCGACATATGGGTAAAAAGGGGATAAAGGAGCCAAATTACGGCAAGGGGTTCTTGGGGCCTACTGTGACTCAAAGGCCCATAGTTTTAGATTTCATGTATCTCACGCTCCTCAGAGGACCCAGGACAAGAAGTGAAAGATTCTTCTGGGCTCTCTGCACCATCAGCAGGATGAGAACAGCAAGAAGTCAGGCAGTGGGAGGAGCAGAAGATGATGGGAACAGGACCCACTTGATTCCTCTCAAGAGCTCGGGCAACTTGGAAGAGCGTAACACCTAACGGCACTACATGCAGAACAGAAGGGCGACCCAAAGCCTCCTGTCCGGAGAGGCCCGGATCTTCCGTTTCCACCAAACTATCCGCGTGGAAGGGAACCAGATCGAAACGCGACCGGGTCGAGACACGAAAGATGAAGAGGGTCCAACCTGCAAAAAAATCAAAACAAGCCAGACCGATCCAAGCGTAGCTCAGGAATGCCCACATCCTGGGACGCCCTTTCCTGAGCTGCTTTGCGCAACGGTGGGGGGGGAGGGGGTGGTGGTGGGCGGTGGAGGGGGGTTAATCAGTGACTCGAGCGGCTCACACACCTGACCGCTCATCCACACCTCCCCCCTCCCCGACTCTCACCTTCACGGCGGCGGACACGGCGGGGACGCTGCCATACTGGACGTGCTTCCGCAGGTGGTTGCAGATGGCTCGGAGCGTCGGGTGCACTTCCACACAGAATTTACACTTGTAGCCCACCACCTTCCTCTCCTTGATCTTTGGCACCTCTTCTAAGTGACCAAAAGGCTGGTAAAATACAGTGGTAGCCATCAGTACTCCGAGCCCTCCCTCGCACGCCGGCGTTTACGCTTGTCGCTTACTAGCGGACTTTATTTCAAAGTGGATTAGCAGGTTAGAAACCAAGGGAGAGATACGGCCGTGTGTTTACAGAACGAGGTCGTCAGAGCCGTGGCGCGCTGCCTGCCACGCAAAAGTCTCCGGAACCCACACATGTTACGACTTGTGAGGAGAGCAGAGTTCTGTGGAGAAGCGTCATGGTCACGGCCACCGCGTCGGGTGGTTTTCAAAGCAGTGTCAACCACGCAGGTGAAACGTTGCATAGCTACGCCATTAGTGAACGTCTTGACCAGGAAAAATAACCGAACAAAAAAACCCAAAAACCGAAAACCAACCAATCAGACAAATCTACTCCTGGAGATGGTAGGTTCCTGTAGCAGATACTGCGGACCAGCACCACGGCTGACACCAAGAGACGGCCCACAGCTGCCTTAGAAAGAGAGCGAGCGGCGTCGTGTAACGGGGCCTCACGTAAGGCTACTTGGCAGAAGGAGATACAGAGAAACCACCCCGGCCCTCCCCGGGGGAGCCTTGGGAGAGTGGGAGGGAGGGAGCGGGGCCGTGGAGAAGGGCGAGCCTAGGATGGGGGGCTACTCAAGCTCGAAACGTTTAATTGACTTATGGAGCTCTCTGGCAAAGCTAAGTCACTAGGAAGCCTGTAGCAGTTTGGCTGGCAACGAAGAAGTGCGTGTGGGCACCAGTGATGAGAGGCCTCCTGGGGGAAGGGAAATCAAAACATAGCCTTACCCTCTCTTGTTTGAAATCTGCAAAAGCACCATCTGCATATTTCTGCTTGCTCAAAAGCTGTTTCCTCCTCTCCTGACGTTTGGCACGCTTCTGGAATTCCTCATTGTGAACGTTCAAGTGTGAGGTCAGCTCCGCTGTGCTTTGCAGTTTGCTATCACAGTGCTTACACTGGTAGGCGGGGCTCTGCAGGCGGGGGCCGCCGCCCAGGATGACGAAGTCCCTCTTGAGGTCCCGGCTGTGGTGGTCGGTGTAGTGCATGCACAGCAGCTCGGCCGTGCTGAAGGACAGCTTGAAGCACCTGACGCAGCGGAACGGGAGCCACTCGGTCTCCGCAGCTTCGCTTCCCTCCACCTCGGCCTTCTCGAAGCTGCCTCTCTCCTCCTCTTCCATCAGCACCGGCTTCTCGTGCTCATCCGCGTAGACGGCCGTGAAATAGCCGCCCAGCTTGCTGGCGTGCTGCTTCTTCGGGAACACCCCCGGGTGGCGCTTCATGTAGTGGGACACGATGCCCTTCTTGCTGAAGGACTGGAAGGAGCACAGCGAGCACTTTTTCTTCTCCACGGCCCGCCGCAGCTCCTCGCTGAGCTGCGGGGAGTCATCCTTGGGCGGGGAAGGGATGATCACCTTGTTGGGCTTGTCGCTGATGGTCCGGGAGGCGGCCAGGCAGTGGGTGTAGTAGGCGTCGATGTCGTGGCGCTTCTGGTAGTGGGCCGCCAGCCCCTTGCGGATGGGGTTGGTGTAGGCGCATAGTGCGCACTTGAAGAGGTTGTTCTTGCCCTCTGGCTGGGCGCGGACGTTGTTGTGCTTGATGCGGTAGTGCCTGGCGATGCCCTTCCTCGTGGAGCAGAAGTACTTGCAGAGCTGACACCGGAACACAGTGTGGGAGACCAGATGCGAGGCGGAGAAGTGCGACGTGGACATGGGATCCTCTCCCACGTCCTCCTCAGCAGCGGATACCTGGGAGGGGCTCACTTCCGTGGTCATCTCGGGCTCCAGGGAGACCGGCAGCTTCGGGGGCGACGGGGAAAAGACGTCGAATTCGGGCTGATTGTGGTACTTCTCGTAGTGGATCTTGAGCTTCTCCAGAGTGCCGTGCGTGTAGGGACACAGTTTGCAACGGTAGGCGCCGTAGCCTTGCTTGAAGATCCTGCTCGTCTCCTCCACGTCGTTCTGGGCTATGTCCGCGGACTGCTCCACATCGTGCACGAAGTCCTCGGCGGTCACCTTGATGGCCGGGTGGCGCTTCTGGTAGTGCGTCAGGACGCCGTGGATGCGGGTGTTGATGTAGGGGCAGTGTCTGCATTTGTAGACGGCGCCGGGGTTGATGTCGATGTCCTGGGCAAAGTCAGCAGCCTTCACCTTCATGCCGGGGTGCTTCTTTCCGTAGTGGGTGAGCAGGCCATGCAGGTTGTTGTACTCAGACTGGCAAACTGTGCACTGGTACGGGGTGGACGAGATGGCCGGGTTGGCCGAGGCCAGCTGGATGCTCTTCTCTGGGGAGAGCCTCGGGTCATCTGGGCACTCTGCGTCCTGCTCGGGGAGTGGAGTGGGCAAGCTGTTTTCGCAATTCACGGGACCCACCAGCTCTTCGGCGGAGGGGGGGAGGGGATTCTCGATGGCATCTTTCTCCTTGATGATATCCAGCAGCACCGACTCATCACCATTCATGGCCCAGGGATGGAATGCCTGGTAGTGATTGGTGATGTCCCAGATGGACATGGCCTCAAAGACACAGTCTCTGCATCGGTACGTTTTGGCTTCTGTGGGCAGCGCGAGGGAGGGAGGGGACGGGTCTGGCCCAGCCCAGAGTTTGGTAGCCATGTAAGTGTAGTCAACGTAATGCTCTGGATGCCTCCTCTGGTAATGCAGGAGCAGACCGTTGGGCTCTGTGTGCGAATAGATGCACCACTCGCAGTGGTAGCCAGCTTCTATCAAGCCATCAAGGAACGCCCACCGCATGATGGACGTGACTGTGGCCTTCAGGGCAGGGTGGTCTTTCTTGATATGCTTCCTCAGTGCATAGAAGTAGGGGGAGGTATATGAGCACTGCCTACACTTGAGCGCTCGAAGTTTCGCTTTGTCCCGCTCCGCGCTGGAGGGGGCCATGAGCACACAGCTGGCAGGCTTCTTCTGGTTCCGGTCACAGAGGCTTCGGATGGTGGCCGTGTGCTGCCGGATCACATCTGCATTGGCCTTGAAGTCTCGGTGCTTCTTCTGATAGTGAATGAGGACACCCTTGACCGTCCGGTTCCCGTAATCACAGTGCTGGCAAAAGAACATCTCGTTCTCCACAGGAGGGCCATCTCGCTCAGAGCTGCTGCGGTTGAGCTGTTGTATGGGGGCGGGTGGCCGAGGGGAGCCTTGGGGCCCCTCAGACCCCCTCATCATTGCAGCTGTGGGAGGAGCCTGTCTGATATATTTGGCAGTGACCTTTATTTCTGGGTGTCTTTTCTGGTAGTGGACAAGCACTCCCACAACTGACCGATTGCTGTAGGAACAGTGTTTGCAGTAGTAAAGCTCAGTACTGAGGTCTGGTGGCGGGGGTTGTGGGGGGGGTGGGGAACCCATGTTGGACATTTTGGGAGACATTGGAGCACCCACCTCAAATGATAATTGAGAAAGGGCAGAGCCCCTGTCCACAGACACCATTCGCATGGTTTTCTGGATCCTAAAGTAGGAAGCCTTTTCTTCCGGGTGTTTCTTCTGATAATGAACCAAGACAGAATGCATGTTGGGGCTTGCAAACGAACAAACGTCACAATCGTAAACGACAACAGTGTTAACTGAGGGGTCCTTCTGATTTTCACATTCTGGAGTATAGGTCTTTGAAGAAGTGTTTTTATTAAATGTAGCCTGCAGACCGCCACCGCGAGCCACGGGAGTGGAAGTCGCCATGCTCTTGGGGGCTGAATTCAGAATCTCCCTCAGTGTCTGGGATTCCGTATTTAGCCCTTCCTGCTGCTCCACGACATAGCTGGAAAATATCATCGCGTTGTTGATCTTGACTGTGGGATGCATTCTTTGGTAATGCGGCATCAGGCTTCGGACGTTCGGGCTCGTGTAGGAACAAAACCGACACCGGTAGATCAGGTCCGAATGGTCGAAGTTGAGTACATTCATGGCTTCTGGGTGGTGTTCACCGTAATGCTGCTGCAGGTCTTCAAAGTTGGTGTAGTCAATGTAGCATTCCAGGCACCTGTACACGGCACTGTGGTCGTTGGGGTCCAAGATGTACCGAAAGCTGAACTTGATATAAGGGTGCATCCGTTGGTAGTGGGTGCTGACGCTCCGGGCCGATTTGTTGTTAAAGTCACAGTGTTTGCAATAATAAAGCCGTCCAGAGTCACCAAAGTCTGTGTTCTCGTTACTGTGCTCTGTCCCATAGATGGGAGTCTGGGTGTTCAGCAGAGCAGTACTGGAAACCTGGTGGTCTTTCATGTTGGCCGAGGAGCCATAGTAATCCTCTTCGTCTTCGGAAAGGGTGAGCTCAATTTCCGCCCCGTTGGTGGCGTTGTAGTCGTGGGCGACGCTTCTGAAGCTGGGCTCCTTTTGGGGCTCGCCAGCGTCTCTCGCCCAGATCTGCTGGGCCGAGAAGGATGTGGACACCTCCATGACCGGCTCTGTGGGCTCTTCCTCCCTGTCCAACTCGACCTCTATCTCCACTTCGTTGTCTTCCTCTTCCTCCTCGTCATCCTCCACGTTGATCACCGCGTCCTCCTGCTGCTTTGTCTGGTTGATTTTGCTCTGCAGGTTGCTTGCAATCTCGTCGATCCTCGTTCTCTTCTTCACGGGTGACAGATCGAGGGGAAAGTCGTTGGCGAGCTTCCTAGAGGCCTTAGCTACAAAATTGTTCTTGGAGGACAACCCAAGAATTGAGGTCTGACTTTTCTTCACAGTGTTGCTGGAAGAGGGGTGGCTGTCTGTCTCGCTCTCCAACGGCAGGCTTGAGGGCTGCCCCTCGAATTTTGGCAAGTTGTCGCAGAACGAGTGCTTGTGCTGCTGATGGACCCGTAGCCCTTTCAGAGTCGTGGTGGAGTAATTACACATGGTGCATTTGTAAGGGTGCAGGGGTGGGGCTGGCATGGGCGGCTGGGGCGGCTGCACCGGCGGGGGCTGGGGCTGCGGCTGGGCTGGCACCTGGTGGGGCGGCTGTAGCTGCGGTGGATGTGGCTGGGACGGCGGTGGGGGTGGTGGTGGCGGCGGGGGTGGTGGCTGTTGCTGCTGCAGGGGATCCAACAGGACCCCCGGCTTTCTGCCGTTGACGCTCGAGCTCTCATAAGACACGACACCTTCGTTCAGGGAAGCAGAAAGGCTCTCGCTCTGGGAATTCACAGCATCCCAATCTGACGTTGTACCCGTGTGACACTGCTTGTGAGCCCCAAGCTTCAACGAGCTCTTGCAAGTAAACGGACATTCATCACATTTGTAGACGGCGGTCTTTCCGGACAAATGGATGTTTTCTATGTGACGGGAGATGCTACGTCGATGCATAGTGAGGAAGGGACAGAAGGGGCACTGGAACCTATTCATGAACCTTCTAAACGGAATCCCCTTGGTCTCCAGCAACTTGTTGCCGTCCGAGCCCATCAGCTGTTCTGCAGATATGCCTGACGTCTGGTGATCCATGGCATTCAAGCCGTTCTCGCTATCTAGCTCGTTCAACTCTTCATCAGAACTGGAGTCATTCAGCATGCTGTTGGTTTCCAGGTCAGCAGAGGAATTGGTCATGTCAGCCATGCCATAACGCGATCTCTCCGCCAAGTTAACAAGGCCAGAGTTGTGAGGGGACTTCGGCTTCATCTGAGGGTAAGACACGGGTGGAAACTTGGAAGCGGACGAAGAATTGGGTCTCATGATGGAGTTACTGATGGAGCCCCGGAAGTTGGAGACGTTGGCGCTGGGCATCTCCCGGCTTGCAGCATTCATGGACAGATAGGTGGAGTTGGAAGTGGGGCTGGGGGCGCTTTTGTTCTGCACATCGGGGAGGTTAGTCCCTTCTTGCTGCTGGCGGAGGCTGGAAAGGATCTTGACCATGCTGCGATGCTTCTTCATCATGTGATCACACCAGCGCTCCCGGCGGGGTGTCTGGTAGCTGCACCACTCACAGCAAAAGTTGCCTCGAGACTTGGTCAAAGGCTTGACCATGGACTCTAAGATGCTGCGTTCCACGACCTCTGCTGGCAGTTCCTTGCAGGGGTCCTGCAGGGACACGGGTGGGACCACAGGGTCTGGCATTGGAGCAGGGGCAGGGAGGGGAGCAGTGGTCTCCTTCAAATTGTTTTTGTGATACATCTTCTGGTGCTTAATTATTCTCGCCCTCCTCGGTGACTTGTATGTGCAAAACTGGCAAGAGAAGACCTTTCCAAATCCCTCATGCATCATGATATTATAATTTAAGGATCCTGGAACAGGGGGGCCCGCCGAACTCCCTTCAGCTTGAGCTCCGTGGACCTTCCTTGTGTGTTCGATGAGGAGATTTTTTGACCTGAAGTAGCGTACGCAGAACTTGCATTGAAAAAACTTGTTTGTTGGTTTGGGATTAGGGGCAATATGCTGACCGTAATATCCTGGACTGTGGCCATAGTAGCTTCCGGTCCCCAATGCAGTTGCATTTTGACCTAAAGAGAAAGTACGAGGTAAGTGAGAACAGAAAAGCAAACAAAAGAGAATTAAGAATTTCATCATGCAAATCAATTTTTCTTTTCAACTGTTCTTCATTAATAAACATCACATTCGAAAGTCCTAATAACATCTCCAGATGAGGCCCTGAAGAGTATTAATGAAGCATTAATGAACACACACATAGCGCTTCTTACAGATGAAAACGCAGTGTTCAGCTTTAGAGACGATACTCACCTCATCTCCACTAACGTGCCCTAGGGCTATAAAAAGATGCATTTCCCATACTGTGACATTCATCCCAGAATTCTACAAGGTACTATCCTGTTCTCCAAATTGAAAGGAAACTAAGAGACATAAAGGAAGCTAAAAGGACAATAACATAGGACACTCAGGTAGAGAAACGTGACGCCCTAATTGCAAAGACGGCTCGCAGAGAGCAAGGAACTCTGAAGAAGCCACACGTGCCAAGACCCATGGCTACAGGCTAAAACTAGAGGAGCGCCATGAAACAGATCAGATACGCCCAGAATCAGCAAAGATTTACCTGATAAATCCTCTGCGATTGCAAATTCGTCCTTTATCGAAGAATACTCCACCTCTGTCTGGTTACTGGCGTTCATGGACCCGGATCGTGGCTCATTAGCATTGTCTTCAGCAACATCAGTTGGCTGCAGAAATGCTGTGTGGACATCCTGGATGTGCGCCTTGAGATCTTCGTAAGATGGGGCTCGGAAGTCACAGCCATCACACTGTAGCACCTCCATGATCTGGGCCTACCTTCTCACATTAGGAACCTGTGACAAAAGTCAGAATACAGTGTCTGAAGAACTGTACTAGCTAAATATCCCAAGTCGATGGGGCTACAAGTCCATTAACAGAAACATTTCTAGTATCAGCAGATCTTACACTGAACTTTGCCAGTTGGAATGTCCACCAAAGAAATGCAACCAGACGTAACAGGGATAGTGTCCTTGAGATCCAAACATCAAAAAAGTGTAGGGGCGGGTGGGGCGGGGGACCCAGATAAACATTTTCCACTTTGATATAAATACATCTTCAAATGCCATTGGTCAAGGAAACCCTTAGCAGTTCAAGAGTTTTAGTAGTTTCTGAATTTCTTGACTGATTTCAAATTTCTTGTCAAGTCAGTATTGACTTTGATTCTGGCTTGGACCCTTTTTTTTTGGGGGGGGCGGACTAGAACCTTCTCAGAAGTAAAGAGGATGTCTGTACAGAAAAAAGGACAAATTTCAATCTTCATTAGCTGTTCTAATATTAGAACATTGATGTTTCATCCCCAAATGGTAAAATAGTATTGAATTTTGGGTGGTGGTAGAGAGAGCTTTTATTATGCCTTTTGTTATTCTAATACTTTAACTGATATTGGGGTATGCCTCTTTCCTCCTTTCCACAGTTTAGTTGTGTGTGCGCACGCACATGTGTGTATGCGTTTCATAAGCTAAATGGTTATTTTGCTCTTTACTATCTACCAATTACAACCTAACACCTTCTCCAACTAATTAGGTCATAAACTATTTTTTTCTCATGAGATTCTCCAACCACCAACTTCAAATGACAATCCAGTTTCTAGTTTAGAGTTGTACCTTGATACCTCGGTTTACATTAAGGTAACAAACACAGTTTTGAAGAGGGGCTTCTAAGTCGCGACTCCCTTCCTACGCCTCTCCTTGACAAACATGCAGTGTGTACTTGCCCACAAAAAGCTGCAAACCTGGGGCAGAATAAAGCAAAATTTGCCCAGCTACCTTCACTCTGTTCTTCGCTGGGTGACAGAGAGACACAGATAGCTTCCCACTAACTCAACGGAGAGGCTCACCATTAAGCAATTAAAAATGTATTAGAAGGTGTAGTCTATCCCATCGTAATACATATCTTGAGCTGAGATACCCGGTTATTATCTTAATCAGTGAGTTACTTCATGGAGCTCACCGCAAACTCTACTGAGTCACCGCAATCTAGAACCAGATGTCCAAGAACTAAAGCCTTCGCCAGATCTTCCTAGACTTCTACTGTACTGCAACTTTCGCTACTTTTAGGGCAAAAGGTAAACTGATTCTGCAGGAGGAACAAAGTCGAGCGATGTGTCAAATGTAGAGAAAGGAGCCATTGCGGGCGGATTTTCTATGAAAGAATGCTCCTGCTGATAGCCTGCTAAAATAACTTCTGGCAAGTCCAGCTCTGGACAGACTGAGCTTGCAGAGTGAGACACAGATATTTACCTCCTCTTCTTTCACCCAGCAATCTATCCTTTTTCAATAAACACTGAACGGTGCACCAGAGTCTTTTCAGCTAAGTCTCAACATTCGAGATACACAAGCTTTTATGCCTAAGCGCCAACCCAAATTGTGTGGAAGAGGTTGCTATCAGCTCTGGATCAAATTACAGCCGTCACTGAGGCCCCACCCCACTTCTCCTTTCGCACAGTCCATTAGACCTGAAAACAAATTTTTCCATGGTGCAGACGACTCCTGCATTTAGAACACTTCACAGAAAAAAGCAGACCATCCAGTGTGCACTCCCCATCCCCCAAGCCTAGCCCTTTCATCTCAGCCAAACAAGCCACAGCTCTGCTGAATGTGTTTATCACACTTTCAAGAGATATGAGCTCCTGCGTCACCGAAGCTCTAAGACTCACTAAGCTGCCCTAGTCCTCTGAGCTTCAGGAGCGGCCATTTTAGCTCGGAGCTTCTCTTCCGTGCACAACATGGCTTCTCTGGGATTCTGCTAGGCTGACAATCAGAAATGAGCAGTAGAAGAACAGGCTGGGCTCCTCCTATGCTCTTCTGCTCCCAACAAAGAATGAACTGTTTGCACTGCTTTCCGAAAAGCAGCACCTTTCTCCTCCTCAAATGTCATTCACCAAGATCTCCGAAGGTTCTTTTATCCCATGATTGATAAGCTTGTTCGTTAGTCCCAGCAGAGCTGACTGGTTATGGCAGGACGATCCTGGACCAGACCCTGTTCTACAGCAGGATTTGGGGGTGGGCTGGGGGGGACCTCCAGAATGCCTTGGCTTCTTGGGAGTCGTCCTTCCACACACAGAAGACATACCATCCGACTCTGCTTGCCAGATTCCAAAGTCTAATGACCTTTGTTAATCACCAGCCAGTCTGTCTGCATCAGCAGACCCTGCCAACAGACACACCCTTCAACACAAAGGCTGTAGCTATTCCTTTTAAAAGAGGTTCTCTGAAAGCTCCATTGTGTAGCCCGAGAGGAAAACAAAATCTCTTCCCTTCAAAACTTCAAGCCTTTAGAAATAACGCAACAAAAGGCTTTCTGCTGTGTGTCTTTTGGAAATTTTGAGCCCAGTTTGCACAACATCAACAAAAATGATGGTTCTGCACAAGGAAAGCAGGGCACCTTCAGCACTAAGTCATCCACCCAGACATGAAATTCATCTCGCTATGCGGTTCTCTAATATCTTGGTGTCTTCGGAAGCTGTTATCGAGGATTCTAACTTCACTGGATGCAAACACAAACCTACAGTCTCCTTGTTCTGCTACAAAGGAGATTAAAGGGTCATGAGATCAGGGGGAAAAAAAAAGCCCACTGATTTGGAAAAAGAAGAGATGATGAAAGTGATTTCCTAATGGGTTCTAGCTTTAATGTTGTTGCAGTCTCTACCTCAAAAATAGCTCAGAGCCTTAGAAGAGGTTAATCTCCAGGCTGCTGAGAACGAGCGTCAGGTACAGCTGAACGGCCTTCAATTTGATGTCTGCACCAAGCCCCGAGAGGAGGACGGAGCCTCCTTTGAAAGCCATTTGCCTTTGTGTACACATTTGTCCTGAAGACGCTGACAGAAGAAGAAAACGGAAATTTCCAGCATGGCCTAAACAATCAAAGAAGCAGAAACCCGATGTGTTTATGAGACCGAGGATGCATACACGTGCACACAGTGAGAGCAGGAGAAGAAAGGAATGGGGGAGGACGGGAGACAAAGAAAGCCGGACCCGAGGAGGACCCATCCATCAACCAGAGTATGTACAGCAGATGGTAATCCTCTGAGAAACCCACAACCAGGAAAAAAGAGGAGAAACGCGTTCTGCTGCTTCTCTGACTGCTTCATCCGCCCAGAAAGAGCAGCAACCCTCAAAGACTCAGCTAGACACTGATGTGCTCCAAAATGATGATTTAAAGCTAAAAGTCTTGATCTCCTATCTACTTTACTTCATTTAAAAATACCGTCATAATGAGATTAGCAATACCCCCCTCCCCACCACTGACCCAATCAGCAAAATCAAAAGCAGAAGAGGAAGCTTCAAACTAACTAAAAAGAAATGCTATTTCAGAAGGTCATGGGCTGAGTCTACAAATCAAACAAGCACCCCCATCTCCTACTCCCCCTACCCCCGGCAGTATTCCCAGGCCTCTCAAGGTCAAATAGGCATCGAGGACTGGACTCTAAACACCACCCACGAAGGGACCTGCTCTGTGAGTATGGATTCTTCTCTAATACCCTAGTGCCGAACGTGATCAGTTCTCCTGACACACGAGACCCCTAGACCATTCGAATTATTCACTGCTCTTCAGTATCCTTTATTCCCCATTGCTGGTGTGTTCCATTTCCATTTCTAGTTTGGGGATTTCCAAAGGTGGGGGTCTGGATGAGAAACCCTAACTCCAACTCTCCACATCTGACAAACTCTTGAAGACATAGTTAAAGAGAACCCAGAGAGATCTCGTTTAAGATCGGGAATGTACACGTGCGAATGGGTAAAGGGGGATGATGGACACAGGCTGCTCTCTCGTCTACACCACCTGCACCCCCACTTTTCTGTGCCCAGCATCCCGGGGAGCCATCATGGCTCGGTGAAGGTGAAAGAAGGCAATCCGCAGCTTCACGCCCCGTTCTTCTCCGGCTCATGGCCCAGACGTACCTGGAGAGGGGGAGGCACGCTGGATGGTTCACGGTGTTCTCACCACCAGGCCACCATCAGCCCTCACCCAGGGCAGCTTGGCGAACACTGTTCCCCAGACTTGCATAAACATGGTCTTCAAGTCAAAGTCCCAACGGTCTCCAGGAAGTGCCTGAATTAAAACACACAGGCCTTGCCTGGATTGAACCTGTTCTCTGCCTGAAGGCCGCAGACCAGAAAAAAAGTGGTGAGGCGCCACGGCCACGGGGATTCAGCAGCAACTAATTATAACCTTCAAAGCCTTGGAGAAATAGAACCAGAAACACCATAAGGTCCTTTTCCTCTGTCCACTCCAGAAACCTAGTTTCATTTATCAGGCACTGAGCTCCCCAGTTCTCCTGAATCACAATTCTAAGAAAAGGTTTTAGTTAGCACCTGTTGTTTGTGCTTTTCTTACTTTCCAGTGAATGGAAAAACCAATTATCCAAGGACTGGCAGTGGAATGCATCAACTCTGGAATAGTTCAGCTAGAAAAACAGAAGCATCAGGAACCTGAAGATCAGCCTACAAATATATTTGGAGATCGGAAACAGCTGATAGGGTGAGGTCAAAGAGCTGGGGGAGGGGGGTGTTAGGTGGTTAACATTTCTAACGGTAAGCTCTGGCACTGCCATGGTTTGGGAGGAAGGAAGAATTTCCATGCTGAGGATGAAAAATGGGGGGAACCACTAACTCATCCACTTGTGGACGTGGGCTGCTACTCTGACAACAAGGGGTGTTCTGTGTCAGTACTTATCACTTGTCCTTGTCACGGTCAAAGCAGGACTTCTGGTAACTTAAAAATCTTTTAAAGCATCTTTCCAAGCCCGACTGCACGGAGAAGAAACTGAGGTGAAACTTCCTTCCAAAAGCAG